TTTTGGGAAGGGGTTTAGGGTTTAGGGGTTAGGGTTTAGGGGTTAGGGTTTAGGGTTTAGAGTTTAGGGTTTAGGGTTTAGAGTTTAGGGTTTAGGGTTTAGGGCCTTTAGGGTTTAGGGGTTGGGTTTTGGGTTTTGGGGTGGAGCATGTTGGCATCGTTTAGTTTCGGGGGAGTACTTTAGCTTCGGGGGGTGTGAGTTCATGCTCAGGCTCCAGCGGAGCCTGCAGCTTGACCAGCCAAATACCCAAACCCTAAGCCTCATAAGTTTAAAGTTCTAAACTCAGGGTTCCACCTGAGACCCTAAGGCAAATCATACTTTGTGATCCCATGCTGGCTACCGGTGGCTCAGCGCTGATGGCTATCGAGGCATAGCCCCCAAACCTTCCGAGGGCGAACGGTTAGATAGAGAGGTCGAATACATGGTAAGGGGGGTTTAGGGGTTTGGGGGTTTAGGGGGTTTAGGGGATTTAGAGGATTAGGGGGTTGGGGGGTTTAGGGGTTTTGTTCAAGAAACCGTGGTGGAGGTGGAGTTTTATGCCCGGTCTTTGTAAGAGACTTGTTGGGCACTGGGAGCCAAGTGCAGGTTACACCTCTGGGGTATAAATAGCATAAACTGAATTTTGTACTAGGAAGAACATCCTTGTGATAAAGCTCGGAAATCGCAGTCGTTGTAGGAGTGCCATTCATCGTAACCTGATAGGGAGCTAGAGAACAAGGGGAGAGAGAGCGCCCCGACGACACCCTGCAGGTGAGCGAAGAGGGGTCCAGGGTTCTATCTGCCCAGTCCTGAGTCCCGAAAGTTGAAGGATATAACCAGCCCCTATGAGCCAAACTCCACGCGAACTCCAAGATCCGACCTTGTTTAGGACATACACACGGACATCGGAATAAGAAGCTCCCCCAAAAAATCTGTATGCATGTATGTGTGTATGTATGTATATCTCTATATATATATATATGTAAATATATGTAACAGGCTTGTCAGGCTTCGGACTTGGGGTTACAAGTCCAAGTCGTATTCCCTTGTAGCCCCTTTGTGACGGTACTGGAAAAAGCCCAAAGGCCAACCCCAATGAGTAGTCGAGGCATCTCGATGTACACGACGCCTCATCATCGAACCCTCACTCGAACCCCCAGCCCTTCCAAAGCCATCCCTTTGCCTTCATCACCTACTTGTTTCCAGGGCCCTTATAAATTCTTTATCAGGCTGCTTTCATAAGAAACCCTAAACCCTAAACCCTAAAAAATATACAGGTCATGGTAGCTTCAGATAAGAGTGAAGGTTTTGCATCAATTCAAAGGTTTCTCAAGAGCCGAAGCTCTCTCTCGGACCTAATAAGGTAGGCTTTTGGGTTTGGGGTTTAGGGTTTTGGGGCTTGGGCCAATGGGGCTTTGAGGCTTGAGTTTGTTCCCGAAAGTGTGGTGCCACCATTGGGCTCCTGCTTCTGCGTTGGAAGTAAATAGAGCGTTGTTTGACCGCTCCGGCGCGCCTAAAGCTGGAGCTCCCGCATCTGATCATTTTACAGCAGATGCTGCAAGTTTCAGGTCCCCGCGTCCTGTTACTTACACAGGATGCTCGCGGCGTGCGTCTCCCGCTGTGGTGCAGTGCGTAGGTTTCGCTGACGTCTTCCTACTACAGTGAATCCGATATCTCGCCAATACTTGCGGGAAGGCAGTGCGGGCGTTGCAAATGGCGTCTCTGGCGGTGGTATCGTGGTGGTGTCTTGGTGGCCTCTTGGTGATCTTTTGATCTTTGCGTGGTCTCCTGCTTGTCTCTGCATGGTCTTCTAGGCCTCTTGGTTGTCTCCCGGTGGTCCCTTGGCGGTCTTTCGGTGCTCGTCGTGGGTGGTGTTGTGATGATCTCCTGGTGTTCTCTTCATGGTGTCCTGGTGGTTTCCTGGTCGTCTGGCCGCTCTCCTGATATTCTCCTGAGTCTGGGGTGAGCTCTGGGGCTTCCAAGCTGGTGTTTACAAGTGGAAAGCACATGTACTGCGCGGGATGCTTCCGAAGAGTGTCACAAATGCTGGAAAAAAAACGCGTGTGGTGCTCAGTCGCGATCTGGATTTTCACCAACATAGCAAAGCATCCGCCCGGTGGGTGATGACTTTGCTCCTGGTTGTCTGGCACAGGTGGCAACGAGCTGCGACCTGTCTTTTCCTAACCCTAGTGAACCACCGGCCGGGCGGTCGTGACTTCCGGGTCCTAATTGCTCCGGGTGTGGTGGTTCACTGTTTGGGGATCTCCACATCCTGCGTTTTGTGGGAAGGGAGCCGTGAACCCCTGTGCAGGTCTTGAAGAAGGCAGGGGTGAAGGAGGACGGGACTGGGATTGAGGTGTAGTGCTTCCCGGGGTTTCGGCCTGAAGACCCGAAGCTCCTAAACCCTAAACCCTAAACCAGTGAACCCTTGCACCCTAAAGCCCTTAAGCCGATAGCTCGACTGGTAAGGGTTTCGACTTGAAAGCCGAGGGAAAGGCTATCCCAGTGTGATGCGGCTGTCTCCAGGTCCTAGGTGTGGATTATGCTGCTCTTAGGATCCCAGCAAAGCCCCGACACTCCCATGGACACCCAAAGCCCCGAACACTAACACCACCCCCTGCCTTTGCTAAGGATCCCCTTAATTTTGTAGCCAAAACCCACCACATCGGTTTGGGGTTTAGGGTTTAGGGGCCCCCCCGCTTCTAGGGGTGGTGGGTTTACTGCGGTTTGTTGAGGTTTCACAGGGATCTCCAGGTTCAAGGGTCTCTCTTCTTGGGTTTGGGGTTTGGGTTTTAGGGTTTAGGGTTTATAGGGTTTGGGGTTTCGGGTTCTAGAGACGGGTCACCTCTTGGTTCGCAGAGGCCTCAGTGAGTGAAGAAAAGGTAGAGTTATACTTTGGTCTCACTGTGGCGATCCCTGATGTACGTCCGGTGTACGACGTACTCAGAGATGCCTTGATCCCGTCGAAAACCGAGGGTTTCTTGTTTCCCACCCCTTGCAGTAAGGTCGAAGGTGACAGGGACCCTGCTTTGGAAGTGCCAGCCCTGATGTCGTCTCCTGATCGCCATGTCCAGGCAGTCTGGCCCTGGTCGAAGAGGGTGCATTTAGGGTTTAGGGTTTTAGGGCTTAGGAAAGTTATGGGGTTTAGGGTTTAAGGTTTAGGATGCGGTAATGTCATGGGTGCTCGCTGGTGTGTGCACACCCAGGCCGCTCGCACCCGTGCGTAACAGACAGCCCACCCCAAGACCACCCTGAGTTCAAGCGTTTTAAGGGTTTGGTTCTAAGGTTTTTTGTAGGCATCCCAGCGGGGGCTTTGGCATCGCCGACGATGGCAACGGGGCCCAGGCAGAATCGACAGCAGCAGGGCTTTCTGTGAGGTTGTGCTGGCGGGTTCTCATGTGGGCTTTCTGTAAGGCTGTCCTGGCGGGTGTCGAAAGAAGCAATGGGCTTTCTTTGAGGCGGTGTTGCCGGAGTTGTGCAAAGACCAGCAGCAATGCATGTGGGCTTTCTGTGAGTCTGTCCCTTTCTGGGTTGGGTTAGGGGTTGCAACCCTTGTCAAGAAGAGGGCCGGTTCCAACTCGTGATGGGTTCGGGGGGTCCAACCGTCCAACCCTTGTCAAGAAGGGGGCCGGCTCCAAGTCGTGAAGGGTTGGGGGGTGCAACCCTTGTCGAAAGGACGTGTTTTAAGGTCTATACCTTTGTACCACTCCGTGGGAGGTGCCCGAGGGACCGGCAGGCATGGTGCCATTGGGCTAGCTTTAGCTAAGCTCCGTGTACGCAAAGCCCTCAGCCCTCGATCCTTGCTTCTAAACTCCCTGAACCTGAAACCCTCAATCCCAAATCCTAAGGACAAAGCCTGAAGCCCCAAACAATAGTCCCGAAACACAGGCCCCCAATCCCCACAACCCAAACCCCTAAACCCCCTCCAAGACCTAAGCCCCGAGCACTTAACCCCAAACCCTAACCTTTGCGGCCTTTTCACAGGAGAACATCCTTTTCATCAACGTCGTCTCCTGCCCCGAGGGCCTCAAAGCCTTGGCAGATAAGGCCATGGGCTGGGGTTGATATAGGGACCTCAGTATTTTTGAAAGAGTTCTACGAGGGGTTCAAGGGTTCTATCAGGGTTACAACAGGGGCTTCATATAGCAGCCTAAATAGTTAGAGTAGGGTTCCTGTTCAAGGGTTCAGGGGTGCTACTAGGGTTTGAGATAAGGGCCTGAACAGTTGGAGTAAGGTTCCTGTTCAGGTTCCTTAACGGGTTCTATAAAAGTTATAGGGTTCTACAAGGTTTGCTATAATTAGAATGATTCCTAAGGGCTTTAATGATCAGAAGTAGGGTTCCTCTAAAAGATTCCTTTTCAAGGGCTCAGGGGTATTAGGGTTTGATATAGATGCCTGAATAGTTGGAGTAGGGTTCAGTTACGGGTTCCTTCACAGGGTTCTAGAAGGGCTGAAAGGTTCTATAAGGGTTGCCATCAGGTTTCATCACATAGGTGCCTTAGTTGTTAGAACATGTTTTTGGGGTAATTTGTAGATGAGGAACCTTAATCAATTTTGGATTGGTAACTGTGTCGGAAAGATTAGTAATCCCATTCCCTCACATCCTCTATATAATTCTAGAGTATTGTACCACCAAACCCTTCTGCGCCCTTGCAGTAGGATTTTTTTGCGCCGGCTTTATGGTTTGGAGCTTACGGTCGGCGCTTTAGTGCTGTCGGGTTTCATGGTCAGGGTTTCCAGATGTGAAGGTTTATGGGCTTGAGGCTTGTATCAACCTATATTCGTGTTTTGGGTTGTGTGGCTCTAGGGTATATAGCTTAGGTATAGGGTAAAACCTACACTCAAATCCGTGTTGGAACCTTTATGATTCAATTCCTCAGATCCCGGACCAAGCCTCCCCTCAACCCACCTGGAAGAGCCCAAGCCCCATACCCAAAGCTTGGTGTACAAGCCTGAAGTATTGCAGTGGGGGTAGTATTCATTCATTCAGCACGCACACCATGTTCGATGATTCGCGACGGGAACAGCAAGAACCTATGGCTCTCGGAAGCTCAAGGCTTCACCGCTCTATTGGCGGTAGTGGTGGTAGTAGTAGTAGTAGTAGTAGTAGGAGGAGGAGCAGCAGCAGCAGCAGCAGCAGCAGCAGCGGCAGCAGTGGGAGCAGTAGTAGTAGTAGTAGTAGTAGTAGTAGTAGTAGGCACCCCCCACCCCTTTCGTCATGTAGGATCATCTTTTGAAGCCTCAGAATCGATTTGTCGAGTTTGCAAACTCGAGCTTCGGATTTGTGTTTTTTTTGGAGGGGGGGGGGGGAGGGGTGAGGGGGGATGATGACGACATTGTTACACAGACACGCCGAATAATACCTCCGGAAGAACCGTTATGCTCGGTATTTATAGTACTTTCGCGATTATATAGTCACAAAAACTACTTTTGGACATTGCGAACTCGACTTTGGGATTTCGGAGGACGGCTTTCGGCGAAAGCTGAAATTGGATGGGGGGAAGCTTTTCTCGGGGATGATCACGGCACTGTTTCGCGAACAAACCACCCAAAAAACAACAAGTCCAAAATCCGAAGCTCGAGTTTGCAAGCTCGACAATTCGATTTTCAGGCTTCGTAAAGATGATCTTTCATGGCGAAAGTGCGGTAAATGCCGAGCAGCATGGATGTTGTCTTAACGTGGTTAAGAACAAGTGTGTTGGAGGATGAGTTCAGGATGATGTTGATGATCATTTTTGGATGATGTTGATGGTGATGTTGATGACGATGACGTAGTGTAGTTGTTGGGGGTGGGGGGTGGCTACTAGTACTAGTAGTAGCAGTAGTAGTAGTAGTAGTAGTAGTAGTAGCAGTAGTAGTAGTAGTAGTAGTAGTAGTCGTGGTCGTCGTCGTCGTCGTCGTATTCCTCCTAATCATGCTCTAGTCTACTCCAAAACCCCCTATTCGAATCATTCGGGCTCCTGCCTAAACCCTAAACCCTAAACCCCATACCGAAACCCCTAGGCCCCAAACCGTAGCCCTAAACCCCCAGTTCGAGCCCGAATCTCGCAGGCTCCCCTGGTGCGCATCCTCACCTGCGGCCTCGACACGCATCTGAACCAGGCGGGTTGAGGCTTTCGGGCCTTCTGGGTTTAGGGTTTCGGGTTTCGGGCCTCGGCGCCCCTGTCTAGAGTTCAGGGCTTGAGACCCGCCATGTCAGAGAGGAGTTCTGGGTGGGTTTTGGACTTTTTGTGGGCTCATCTTCGAAGGTCTCCATTCCTTGCAGCGCAGCTCAAAGGAGGAGCCAACTTGCAGGGATTCCGATTGCGCCTCGAGATGCATGTGTTGGTACAAGGCTATCGAGGCGGAGTAGCCCTAAACCCTCAACCTGGGTTCAGAGCCCTGGTTTCCTGCTGGGTACACGGAAGCAGTCCTTCGTTGACCCGTTAAAAAAGGTCTGGGGGTCCTATACGTTCTGTGCCAGAGTCTCTTCCAGTCTAAATCCGAAAGCCTAAACCCTAAACACTAAAGCCTCATCCTTAAATCCTAAAGCCTAAACCCTAAACCCTAAAGCCTAAAGCTTACAGCACTGAAGCTTCAACGTATTTCAACATCAGATCTCAGAGCCCTCTTCCCTACTTCTCCTGTAAACTCCAGGTCCGTAGAGCCTAGACGGCAACCCGTACTCCTCTGAACCTCCAAACCCTACTGTATTGCCGCCCCAAGCCCGGGGACTTAAAAACCTAGTAGCTAGAAGTGGTTAGCAGCATGAGTGGTATATCAGCAGCTTTTCCAGTAAGCCCCTATACCTGAGGCCAAATTCATCGTGCCTGGTCTCGGAGACTTCGGCGCGGGCCCTGCAAAGCCCTTGGCCCCTGAGCCAGGCCCCGGGTGTCTAGGAGTCTAGGATTTGGGACTTCCCGAAAATTAGGGCACCTTATTTTGGGGTCCTTATACTAAGGATCCTACTATTTAGGGTACTATATTAGGGTCCCCTATTTTCGGAAACCCCCATCTGAAGGTCTTCTGATGGGCGTCGTTCGGGGCGTGGATTCTGCCGTCTTAGAGAAGGAACACAGCTTTCAGCCTCCGGAGACCTAGGGCATCTTCCGGCCGCAACCTGGGGGCAGGTGTTAGGGTTCGCCGTTTCGAGCTTCGGGCTTGGGGTTTAGGACTTGGTGTCTGGGTTCGGACTGGTTTGGACCGTTTCGAAGTCGTTCTGTCCGAGATTTGTCGTGGGGTGCAGGTAGGGTTAGGGCTAGGGTGTCGCAGGAGCTGACTTCAAAGCCAACAGTGCTTTGCTCTACCAATTGCATGAGGACAGAGCAGCTGCTAGCCGCTAGACACTTAGGCTTTGAATGCCAGCATGAGCGTCATCGGATGTGCACTTTGGCTTGGGGCGATGGGTGTGGCACCACCTCAACCCTCATCCGACATATTTTCTCTGCTCGTACTGAGGCGACCGATACTACGGCACCTTTGGTTATGCAGAAGGTTTCCTGTTTCCGCCTAGTCAGGGACCGGAATTCAAAAGCTCTGGGACACTTCAGGGTTTAGGGGGTTTAGGGTTTGCCCCAATGGCCCAAAGTCCGTCAAAATGCGCAAAGCAGCCACGCTGCGCTACCGGTAGCAATGGCTCCCTGAAGCCACGTTTGTGATGATGGTAGCATAAAGATGTATACCAAAACATGCTATCAGTAGGCCCCAATACCCTCTAAACCCTATATACACCATAAACCCTGAAAAACTTAAACTCCGCTTCGCAACAATGAGCAGATCGTGTTTTCCTACTTCTCTGGGCCTTCTTCTTTCTGATGAGGGACTTAGGGATATCCATGAGATGAAAATGCTCATCTCAAGCTCTGGGGTTTGGGGCTTCTGAACTCGGAAGTAGGAGTTCGGCTGCTGGGTTTGGGGTGCTGGGCGTTCGGGTCGTGCGGGCTATGTCTTCGTCGCTTTTTGTGAGCAGTTCGCCCTAAATCCTAAACCCTAAACCCTAAAACCCCTAAACCCTAAACCCTTCCAGCTAGAGCGCCCGTTCTGTCTTGTCTGTCAGCTTCTGGATTCCAGGTATAGCATCTTCAGCCCCTAAGCCTGAAACCAGCTTCTCTCCGAAGCGAGGCAGGCCCAAACCCTGAACCCTGAACCCAGAACCCTAAACCCTGAACCCTAAACAAGCAACACTTTAACAAAGCCTACAACGGAGCTTCTCTAGAACCCAGGCCAGGCGGTCTTCACAAAAATCAATCAAGCCTGCTTAGAAAATTCATCCTGGACAACGCGTCAGCGATAGAAAGTCGGGTTTTCAGAACATCAGAAATGCCACCGAGGCCTCAAGCCCAAATGAAACCCTAAACCCTAAGCCCTAAACCCTAAACCCTAAGTTCAAGAGGCTTGTGGGGTGCCGGACGATCGCGGATTTGATGAGCGCGAGGGGGCTCTGTCTGATATGTTCAGAGCGCCTCTGCGGTTCTGTCTGAAGAGTTCCGGATTTCAGTTTAAGGGCATTCATAGTTGGAACGGGGTGTTGGGATAATATTATAGTACAGGTTTTTGCTACAAACAGGCCCTGTGGTAATAACAGTAATAATAATAGCAGTAGTTGCAATAGTAGTAGTCATACTAGTAATATGTGTAGTAGTAAAGTTACTAGGAATAGCAGTACGCAAGAATAATAACATCAATGGTAACAAAACAGAATAGCAATAGTATTAAACCAAAAAAGAACCGAATAGCAACAACAGTAATAGCAATAGCTAGCAATAGTAGTCATGCTAGTACCCCCTACGTTATAGCATGTCGAACCCTAGGGCTGGCAGACCAAGTATCTGGTCGGATCTGAGTATATAGTTCTCTAAATAAATGAGGGTCCCTTTTAGGTCCCCCCAAAATAGTACGGCACTCTAATGAACAAAAGGAGTCTAAAGGGACATTAATTTGGAGAATTGCCCACATAGTGATCACAGAAGCGTTGCTCATTCTTCCACATCTTCAGAGTGCACGACTTCGTGATGGGGGAGATGTAGCAGAGGCAACCCATGTAGTTGCATGCATGTGTGTGTATATATATATATACACATGTATATGGTGTATGCTTTGGGGTTTGGTTTCGGTTTGGGGGTACATAGAGGCTGATGGGATTTAGTAAGTCGGTCGAAAGCCTGGTTATCTGAGCCCTCTGCACGGTGATCCTCTTTTCGGGTGCTCGATTTGATGTCTCGAAGTATATCCAACTACTGCCCTAAACCCTAAACCCTAAGCCCTAAGCCCTAAACCCTAAACCCTAAACCCTAAACCCTAAAGCCTAACTAACATGCTCTTTAAAGCAGGTGAGGCCTGACCTGGCCTACATTTGCCGAGGTGCGGAAGGGGAGAAGTCCACCGGCACCGATCAAGGGATTCGGCGCCTGAAACAAAAACCCTGCCTTAAGGGCTGAGGGCTTTACAGGGTGGGTTTGGGTGTAGCGTTTAGGGTGTAGGGTTTGGGGTTTCAGGGTTTGGGGTTTAGGGTGTAGGGTTTGGGGTTTGGGGTTTTAGGGTTTGGGGTTTTAGGGTTTGGGGTTTAGGGTATCAGGGTGTATAATGGAGTTTGCCGGTTTGGTATTCCGGGTTTTGGTTTCTACCTTGGGTCAACTTATTCTGCAGCACCGTCAGCAACGGAGTTACTTTTACCTTCAGGCCACCTCAAGTTTAGGATGACCTCTGCTTGAGCTCAGTTCTGATGACAAAAACCAGGGTGTCCATCCGGGTGAAAGGCTTTCAAGATACATCCGGCTTTGGAGGGATTGTTCTTGAGGGTTCCTACAGGAGGGCAGTCCCAATCACATATGAATATGAATATGTAAGTGTGTGTGTATATATATATATACACATACACATACACACACACACATACACGGCACCCGCACTACCAGAATCTTTCGAGGAGAAACGAAACCCGAATAAGAACTAAATCTACATCCTCCTCCTGCAACCTTAATGCCTCAGCTACTTTGCAGAAAGAAGTAAAGAAGCTTTTCAAGCGGAAGCCCCTGAGCAGTTGAAGCCCCAAACCCAAACTACAAATACAAACCCTAAAACCCTAAGCCCTAAACCCCTAAACCCTAAATCCCGCGAGCCCCAAACCCTAAACCCCTAAACCCCCCTTTGAACCCTAGTTCCAGTGCCAGAGCTCTCTTTTTGCGAGACTCCTCCCGCTCACCGCCGCTGGTGACCTGCAGTGGGGAATCCGCCCTTTTGGGTGCACCCTTAGTCTGAGATACGAATACGGGCTAACATAAGGGTAACTACAAAGGTTGCTATCGAGAAAGCCTTACAATCCAAACTTTGAGTCAAAATCCCGTGAAATTCCAAATCCCTCACCTCACATGTTTGGGGTTTAGGATTTTGTTTGGGGCTTGGGGTTCCCTTGTGGTTGAACTGTTTCAACGCCTTCTCACAGCTACGGTTGCTTTACGTTTTGGGTTTCCGGGTGTGCCGCATTATGATTCCTCTGCAAGTCCGCACCGCTGAAAACACATCGACCGGGCGTTGGCCCCGCCGATGCCATCAGATGTTTGACATGCAGGGGGCTTGTTTTCAAAATAGGGCGATGCGAGCTTTTGTTGACGGACGTTGAGGGGAACATGCCGGCTTCGTCTCCTGAGTCCCTCCGCATGATGACATCACTACCATGCAGTCCTAAACCCTAGGCCTTAGGCCGCGCTCCGGGTGCTCGTAAGAGCGGCTATAAGTAAGGTAGCTGTAGTGATGACTCCGTGATGTGCATGTAACCTTACGTATAGCCATCCCTGAACCCTGCAGTATGTGCTAAGTTGGATATGTATATGTGTGCATGCATGTATGTATGTATGTATGTATGTACGTACGTATGTATGTATGTATGCATGTATGTACGTACATGCGTGTATATAAACATACACATACATACATATCAACATACATACATACATACATACATACATACATACACCTACCTACCTACCTACCTACCTACCGACCGACCGACCGACCGACCGACCGACCGACCGACCGACCTACCTACCGGCCTGCCTGCCTGCCTGCCTGCCTGCCTGCCTGCCTACCTACCTACCTACCTACCTACCTACCTACCTACCTACCTACCTACCTACACATATACATCTACATCTACATATCCATATGCACATGCACATGCACATGCACATGCACATGCACATGCACATGCACATGCACATGCACATGCACATGCACATGCACATGCATATACATATACATATACATATACATATACATATACATATGCATACGCATGCATATATAGCAAAACTTCAGAGCATCGATCTGGACAGGTCATCACCACGTAGGCTCAAGCAATCTTCAACCCTAAACCTTGAGCTTGTGGCCAGCCCCAAACCCTAAACCCAAACAGCCCCAAACCCAACAACCCTACGAACCCCAAACCAACCCTGACAGAACCCGTTTCTCCTATGAGTTTGGGAGCTCTCAAACCAAAAGGCACCAAGACTCTACAAACCCAAAGCCTACTCCTTTCCAAAAAGCCTTAAGCCCTAAAGCCCCGAACCCACCCCCCCCCCCTAGAAAACCCTAGAACGCGAAAACAGCATAAACCCTATTTGCCCTATACGGCCCAAAACCCCTCCCCCACCCAAAAAAAAACCACCAATACCTTGTGAACCCTTTCAGCCCTATTCGCCCTACAACCTAAAAACATCCCTAGAAGACCCCATAAAAGCCTTAGAAACCCGACAGATCTCTAAACCCGAAATCCTATTCCATCCCTCTCAAAAACCTTACAACCACTTTAATCCCTAAACCGCCAGACTTTTAAAACCCCTAGACCCCAAACCCTGAAGCCCCAAAGCAGCCCCCAACTTCGGTGTTGTTTTCGGCGCCATGGCCTCGGCTTCGACGGGGCAGCTGGCCATTCGTCTCAGAAGGCCCTGGACGGAAGGGCCCCGTGAGTTTGTTTTTCTTTGGGGGGGGGGGGGGTTCCTTTAAGGGTTCTTTTTCGGTTTTCCCTTTAAGGCTTCCTTGAAGGGTCTTATGAGGATTGTTGGGGTGTGTTGCAGGGCTTTGTAGGTGTTTTTTGGGAGGGATTGTAGGGCCTATGTTCCTTGAGAGGCTTTATAAGGGTTCTATACGGATGTATGGGAGGGGGGTTCTACAAGAACTCCCAAAAGGTTTCAGAAGGTTCTGAAAGAATTCATCGACCCCTATAGCCCTAAAGCCTTAAGTCCCTACACCCCTAAAAACCCCTAAGTCTTTAACGCCCTAGAACCCTAAACCATCCCAAACCTACAACCCCAAAACCACAACACTGAAACTCTGAAGCAGAAAACCCTAAGCAATCCTGAACGTAAACCCCGAATGCCAAGCCCTAAAGCCCTGAAACCCTAAAACTAGCCCCGGCTAAACCTAACACCCGAACACCTAAAGCCCTAAGACCCCTAAGCCCTAAACCCTAAACCTAAACTCGAGGCTCAAAACCCTGAACCCTGAACCCCACGATCCAAAGTGCGAAGGTTCCACGAGGACGCCTGCGCCGATGGGGAGCTTACGGCGGTGGTCGAGGCCTCCTTATCCTCCCTTCTTGGCCATGCTAACGGTTTGCATGAGTTTGTACAGAATTTTATAAGTGTATTTTTTGTATGCGCCTTTCTGTGCCATACTAGCAACAAGGATTTTGTAGGGTCTTAGAGGGGGCTATAGGATTTGATATTGGCTTAGTGTGCAGGTTTTTCTCAACAGGGTTGCTATGGGGCCATAAGGGTTCGTAACGCTTGACTTGACCCACTGTAAATGCTAAAGCCCAAGCCCTCAAAGCCTCCGCACCTTTGAACCATTAACCCCAAACCCCTGAACACCCTAAACCCCTAAACCCTAAACCCCTGAACACCCTAAACTCCTAAACCCCTAAACCCTAAACCCCTCCAAACCCTAAACCCCTAAACACCCTAAACCCGACAACCCTGAGCCGGAGACCTGACACCCTACAGTAGCCCAAAATCCCAAAAGCCCAAGCTCTAAAGCCCTACGCCCTAAAGCCTTCAACCCTAATACCCTAAGCCCCCAAGCCCTTAAGCCCTACAAGCCGTCAGCCCTAAACCCTGTCTGCCCGAAATCCCAAAACCTGAAGCCCCAAAGCGGCTGCTTCCCTTAGCAAAACCTCAGATCTGCGCCCCAAAACCCTAAGCCCTGCATTTTTTTTGCCCTAAAAACCCCGAATACCTGGTGGTGCCCCTCCGAGTCTGCAAAGGAACTGAACCGGACGGAGGGTCAGAAGGAGGGCGGCAGGCCTGTCGAGTCTTCGCGGTAACAGGGGGGGCCTTAATGAGTAGAGCAGGGTTCCTCTAAGGCTTTGCCTTTTCAGGGTTCTATGGTTCCGGGGCCTAGCGGCCTAGCGCGTTTCGTTGTAAATGCTA